TCGAACTCATTGCCTTCATCTGTTTCTCCAATGCATCTAGCCTCACTGAACTATCTTCTTCGGTCATCTTCTTCTTCCTTAATTTCTGTACTCATTCCAATGAAATAAGAATCTTGCCTAGCTTCTTGTATTGTGATCGAGTCAGGACCATACACAGGATGCCCCCTTCACAGGATCTGATCGGTCTGATACCAACTTGATACGAGTCACCGTGTGAGCACCTTTGATCGCGGAATTATCAAAGATGGATTGAGAAGAGGATGACAGAAACACAAGAATAATTCAGTATGTGGCGAAGGAAAATACCCTCTCTAGATTATGAGTATGAAAAGATTATAATCACTCTCTCACAATCTCACTAGAATCGAGAACAAACTCTTAATTCTCTCTAAACCCTAATCTCTCTTGATTAGAATATGTCTTTGATTACATCTGATTCCTTTTAAAACTCTAAAACAATCCCTTATATAGGTGTAACAACGTGGATGACAAAGTGGTAAATAACCAAGCCCAAACCCCATAGAAATTCCTGCAAATAGAAACCCAAACAAACCAGGAAACCCTCAATGAGTCGACTCATAAACATGCATGAGTCGACTCATGCCAAGTGAGTCGACTCATGATGAAGTGAGTCGACTCATCAGAAACTTTCGACAAAATAGCTGGGTTTCGTGAGTCGACTCATGACAGGCATGAGTCGACTCAACCTGATGAGTCGACTCATGTACATGTATGAGTCGACTCACGGGCTGAAAACTGGATGCTTCGATTCTTCTATTCACCATCTCGTTTCATGCTTCAACCTATGTTCCACTATGTTGTTTTACACATCTATTCTTAAGTTACCATGAGAATCATCTATCCTCAAGCTCTCATGAGGATCGCTAAGTTCTAAAGAGAAGATACACCCGTATCATAAACATCATCTGCATGTGTTTGAAGAGAGTTATAAGTTTTATTTTATTTGTGTAAGTGAATAATCTTATAAAAAGATTAACTCTTTTGAATCTGTAATTGATAAACAATTGTAATGGATTCGATAAATAAACTAACTTTCGACGCAAACAACATTGATGATTTAGGATATCGTCTTTGGGATGAGAAGAATAGGAAAATCATCAGAAGCCGAGATATCATATTTAATGAAGAGGTAATGTACAAGGACATGGACAATGCAAAGGATAACCAAAGCAGTGGGAGAAGCACTAAGAATGCAGGTGCATCCAAGTACATGAATTTGGAGGAACATCCAGATAGGGAAGACAATGTCAGTTCTGGCCGAAGAACGGAGGAGACTCCAGGTGCAGAGATGACTACCCAGGGCGAGGAGCTTAGAAGGTTATCCAGGGTACCCAAACCGAATCTCATGTATCTCTCATCAGTAGATTATTTGCTTTTGACAAATAGTGCAGAACCGGAGTGCTATGAGGAGGCTATGCAAGTGAGTGAATCTCAGTAGTGGGAGCATGCGATGCAAGAAGAGATGGATTCTCTTCACTCGAATGGGACATGGGAGTTAGCCCAACTACCTACACAGAAAAAAGCCTTACATAACAAGTGAGTTTATCGGGTCAAGCAGGAGAGTGATGGAAGCAAGAAATACAAGGCTAGATTAGTTGTGAAAGGATTCCAATAGAGAGAAGGAGTGAATTATACAGAGATATTTTCTCTGTAGTGAAGCCCACAACCATCAGGGTGGTGTTGAGCTTAGTAGCTGTTGAAAATCTTTACCTTGAGCTGTTGGATGTAAAGATTACCTTTCTTCATGGTGACTTGGATGAAGAAATCTATATGAAGCAACCTGTTGGCTTTATTGAGGAAGGAAAGGAAGAGATGGTGTGTAGGCTTAAGAAGAGCTTATATGGTTTAAAACAGATTCCAATACAGTGGTACAAGAAGTTCGATAACTTCATGTAGAGCAATGGTTATGAAAGGTGTAACTCAGATTATTGCTACTACTTCAAGAGGTTCGAGTCTAGCTATATCTTGTTATTACTGTATGTAGATGACATGTTAGTTGCATGACCATGTTTAAAGGAGATAAACAAGTTGAAGAAGCAATTAGCAAATGAGTTTTCTATAAAGGATCTGGGTGCAGCGAAGCAAATTCTTGGGATGCGAATCAGTCAGGATATGACTGAAGGGACGTTGAGGTTGAGTCAGGCTGAATACATTGAGAATGTACTTCAGAGATTCAACATGGAGAATGCTAAGCCCGTTGGCACGCCCCTTGGAAGTCAGTTTAGGTTATCTTAGAAGCAATCGTCGAAGATAGATGCAGAGAAGGAGCACATGCGAAGAGTGCAATATTCATCAGCTATTGGTAGTCTAATGTACGTGATGGTTTGCACGATGCCGGATATCACCCATGCAGTGGGAATTGTGAGTATGTTTACAAGCAAACCTAAGGATGCAGCATTGAGAGGCCGTGAAGTGGATATTGTGCTACTTAAGAGGGACTACGGATATGCCACTATGTTTTAGGAGAAATGAGTTGGTACTACAGGGATACATAGATGCAAATTTCGCCGGTGATCATGATATGAGGCGAAGTATCACGGGCTATGTTTTCACCTTAGGGTTGATAGCAGTGAGCTGAGTCTCACGTTAGCAGAAGATAGTAACATTGTCCACGACTGAGGCAGAGTATGACACAGTAACTGAACCTAGCAAGGAGATGATTTTGTTAACCGGATGTCTGGAAGAGTTGGGTCGAAAGAGGGGGAATAAAGTTCTTTATTGTGGTAGCCGGATGTTAGAACGAAGTACATCGATGTACGTTACCATTTCATACACTCGCTAATAGAGGATGAGAAGTTACTATTAGAGAAGATTTTAGGGAGAAAAAATCCTGCAGATATGTTAACAAAGATAGTGACCATTTATAAATTGGGGTTGTACGTAACTTCAGTTGGCCTTCATGCATAGAAGATGAGGGCGGAGCCACAATATTTGAAAGATGTTAAATTGAATAAAGAGATTCTCCGGGTAGGAGAAGGTGCTTGCTAAGTTGAAGAGAGCTTGTTGAAGGAGGTTTTGTTTTCAAGTGGGTGATTGTTAGTTTCGGATGTAGACCCAAACCTTAGAACAAGCATGCAAAACAAAAATTTCTCTAAGTGAAGAAATCAAGCGAACTTGAAAGTTCAGGCGAAGCTCGAAGCTAAGTTCATGCGAACTTGCAGTTCAGGTGAGCTTTGGAAGTTCAGGCGAACATGGAAGATCAGACGAGCTTTGGAGGTTCAGGCGAACTCCAAGTGCAGGCGAGCTCCATGTACAGGCGAGCTCCAAGTGCAGGCGAACTCGCAGAAAACAGATTCCTAATCTGTTTTGACCTAGGGTTTCCCTATAAATAGGGAACCCTGGCAGCCACTTAAACGTGAGTTTTCCAGAGCGATCTCTAGAGCATTTTTGGCGGCGATTTTTGCAGTGCCTTGAGCGGCGATTTTTCAGAGAAAAATCTCGCGCCTTTAAAAAAAAAAGAGAGTTCTTTTTTGAGTGATCTCAAGGAGTTTGAGATCATCTCTTACAAGTTTTGTAATCTTCTTTAATATTCAAAGGAAATTTTTTGTGTGGCTCCCGAGGAAGTAGGCAAGTTGCCGAACCTCGTTAAAATTTTGGTGTTCTCTCTTCTATTTTTTTCCTTATAAAGTTTTCTTTTATTTGTTGTGATTTCTTCTTGCCTTCTTTCAACACAAGATTCGGAGGACACGTTCCGTGAGAGGGTTCATTTGACAGGTTGTCGATAGTACGAATCCCCAACACTAATAGGTTACATGAGACACTACTATAAACATCATGTCATTGAGTTAATTAGACTCCATATTAATTATTTAGTTAGAGTGACCGTTCACCTCCGTGCTTCTGTCTCTTTAAATTCGTTGGCGGACACCGTCGCAGTTGCCGTTGTCATAGAATTGAATTCGTGCTTTCCGTCTCTACATCACCAAGCCCATGTGATAGCTAGAGATAGTTTACCGGATAGTTTCGCTGGTTGTGGATGTCTAAAGTATTTATTAACACGCAAAAAAGTTTTACGTCCCTACCCAATTAATATTCTGTTATCTATACGTGTATACATAGGGGCTGTATGCTCAACAAGTACCTGTAAAGGGAACTGGGCCATCTCTTGGTAACGCAGTAATATATCAAACATTTCTCTACAGCATATTCATGTCGCGTGATAGTACATATGGCAAGAAAATAACTCTTAAGGTTTTGAATCAGCTAGAATATCAAAATGCTAACACTAAGGGGTTTTTATTCCTAGAAACCATTTTAAACAAATGGTCATTATACTCAAAACACCCTTGGTTTCAAGTTATACATAAATAACTTTTACAATGGGTTTAAGTTGCAATCAATCAACCCTCAATTAGAGTTTTAACTGAAAAATCCTAATATATCTTTAAAAAACTCACATTCAAGTTATGCAACTCATATTGTTAATTTTGATTTTTGCGTGAAAATTGACTAGGAGGTTGTTGATTACAATATAAACCCACTTTAAATGTGGTATATGTATAAATTGAAAATCAAATATGGATTCTGTATATTGACCCTATTTTAAAGAGGGCTTCTACGAAAAATACCCTGTATATATTTGAGAGATAATATTTAGGTAGCTAATTAAACTGTGTATATTTTGTTACTATGTACGTACAATAATTTGCCATTAACTGCACACAGTATCCACTCTAGAAACACCGAGACAACCAGCTGGAAGTTTGTTGATAGAAATAGTACACATAAGCGCGATGTCTTCCTCAGTACAGTTGAAGAAGGAATGAGTTGTCAACATGCAGAGGTAACTGTCAATACTTATTGCAAATTAATATAAATTTATGAAAAGGAACACAAGTCCAAAATCAATAATCCTAATTTATGTACATTCAAAAAATAACAAAGAATAACATCAACACATAAGAACAAAGGATAAACATGAAAAAAGGTAGTGACATAAAGAACTAGTCATAGTGACATAAAGAACTAGTCATACTATATGGGAAATGTTTTAGCTATATTAACATTTTGACCCATAAATATCCCAAAGACAGTCTACAAAGATACAGGTTACAAAACAAACTAAAGCACACTTCCAAAATCTACAACAATCGTAATGGATATCAAACATCCAAAGAATAATACTAGAAACACATATAGCGCACTTTCCTTTCGTAATTTACAAACAAAGGTAACAACAGCACTTTTGTGTTTATTCCCACCATAAAACTTAGTTAACTCAGCGACGCATAATATACGTCCTTCACTTGGACTCCTTTGTTTTTTTCACTATCCCTTCGTTGCCTGCCAACATCATGTACTTATCCCTTCTTGTCAATCCAGTACACTCAAACCCCAATGAATCCCCCAACTGCTTCTGGATCAAGTTAGCCACCTCCGACCCGCTCAACCCGCCGGCACATGTCATCTCCCTCGGCACCTGCTCCAACAACTCAACCCGATAAGATGGTATCGGGTTCATAAAGAAATATAACGGATCCAACCCTTTATGCCCGCTAGCAGTAGTCCCGTAAAACCAGCTTCCCTTTGCATCCATAGCCACAGGCACAATATGATCCGCCAGCTCAGCAAACAAGGGACTAAACCTTAACAAATAGGGTTCACGGCAAGTTGTCCCTTCAGGACAAATTGTCAAGTCACCCTGTGACAGTAATTTCAACATGGTATCTGAGTCAGATTCTCGATTTCTTGTGAGCCTCACCGTGCGCATGGGTGCTATGGCCTCAGATATCGGGCTGAGGCTGTACGTCACTGCAGGGACGGGCCGTTGCAGCGCCGTGGCGAGCATGACAGGGTCAAGCAGGGTACGGTGAGTGCACACATAGACGATGCCTTTTTTATCATGGGTTTTATCGGCAGTTTTTGTGTTGGTGTTTTTTGAGTGGTGGTGGAGGCGGAAGTGGACACCGGTGAGGGCGCCAAGGAGGAACATGATTTTGTAAGGGGGGAGGATACCGAGGGCGATGCGGGCGATGGAGAGGGGGATGGAGAATGGGAGGAAGAGGAAGAGGGAGAGAGTGGAGAGAGGAGTTGGGAGGAAGGCTAGTCTACTATCATGGAAGACTAGAGGTTTTGGGTATTTGTCCCTTGGCATTGTTGATGTGGTGTTGGTGTTGCTTATAATGTAGGCTTCCTGAAATTACAACAAAAGACAAAAAAAAAAAAGTTTAGGAAATGTTTGAATGATAATCGTACCTGAAATGTGTATATGAAAGTGTTACACATGATCTGTTTTTTTTTCTCTAGTACTGATCTTCACATCATCATGTATCTCTTGGTTTGCAAGATGTTATAATCATACGCCTATAGAACTCATATGAAGTGTTTAATCTGTCGTATAGCCGGTCCTATAGTTATAGATATAAACAGAATTTCTATGTTTCTCTCATGTCAGTGAAAATTAATGTGACTAAAATTGAACATGCACTTTCTAAGCCAAAAGGCAAGGGGACACACATGGTTTCATAAATGAGGGATAATCAAGCAAAGATTCCCACAACAATGAGGGGCTGTTTGGTTGTATGTTTTTACTATGTAAAAGGATGGAAAGTGTAAAAAAATGAGTCCCAATGTCGGCTTTTATCACTTTACATTGTTTGTTTAAATTCTCTTTTACATGAAAAGCTTACACCTTTTGATGAGGTGTCACCGAAAGCAAAATCACCAAATTAAGAGTGATTTTGTTGGAAAGCTGACACAATGTCATAAATGTGTCCAAAAAAATAATAAAAAAGTCAAAACCTTGTAGAAAGTGGTGAGGTGGATAACCATTTTTTATTTTGTGTCATAAATACTCTAGTTTACATTATACTATCCAAACAATGTAATACTATTATTTTAGGATTCACAAAGATTCCTAACCAAACAATGTAAACACTCGAATAGAAAGTGGTGAGGTGGATAATCACTTTCTATTTTGTGTCATAAATACTCTAGTTTCCTAAGGGCATCCAAACAGACCCTGAGCAATAATGCAACACAACCACATATACAAGGAAATGTCCCTAACAAGATGGGAAAGAAAATTTGAAACTACTTCTAATGCAGTAGACATATATAAGAGATTGATTTCATATAGGAGATGACAAAGAAGAACTAATGCAGTAGATAACCAACAAAATCCTATAGCATATTAATTTCCCCATTAGATGTTGAAGACACTAAATTCTCTTTAATGAAATTAAACCACACTTGTCTTTTCCAATGGCCTAGAAAAGGACCTCTTTTTAATGAATGCCTTCAATATGTGCTCCAAATAAGTAAATATAATTGATGTAACGAAAAGACTGCCACATCACAGGTACATAAAATATGGTTATAAGAAAGGGAAATTGAAGCTAATTCTAGTAGAGCATGGTAAAAGAGGTTGGTCTTGTACATGAGATGATAGAAACATTAACGCAACAGCTAACCCCAAAAACTTAAAGCATGTTTACTTATTCATTAAATTATTATTGAAGGCATTAAATTCTACTTACTTAAACTAAACAAAAACTTTTTTTAATGACCTAGAAAATTAGCTATTTCTAATGCATGCCTTCAATAATATGTTCCAAACAAGCAAAAACAATTGATGAAAATAATGGACTAGCAATAAAAATATAAAATATACATGAAAAAGTACATGTGTGCATGAAACAAAAGCATCATAATAAGATGGAGGTTTACATGCCTTGCAATGAGATAGCAAGAGATGGTCATGAGTGTTGTAGTAAGAGCTCACAAGCCCCACATCAGCCTTTTCCTCCTCAAAAACCTCCTTCATCCTTAAACCCTTGTGCTTCAAATCAAGCCCTGAGCAACAAACAAACCCACTAAAGTAATTACTCCCCTTAACAACTTGTAACTCCGTACTTAATACCTCACTAACTCCCAAGTACTCTTTAGCGAACCCCTCAAACATAACTCTAGGCAAACCGCAAAATAAAACCCTCCTCCCTTTAACCAAATCAACCACTTCCCAACCTTGAAGGTGCAAATTCTCAAGAAAAAACTTAGGCAAAACCGCCCTACTAACCAACTCCACGTCCTTGGTCTTAAGCCCACAAAATGTAACAAACACCATAATTCTAAGACTAACTTCACTTCGCCAACCAAAAGCCCATAACAGTGGAGATGTTAGTAAAAGTAGTAGAGCTCTAAGTAGGCTACCACCTTCGAAGGCTACTAACATGAAGTACGGAAAGAAATGAGAAGGGGTTGGTCTAAGGAGGGTGCCATAGAAATTAGAGGCCAAGGATTGGGGTGCACTCCCTTGGAATTTAGTAGTACACTTGGACAAATTTGAGGTGGATTTTTGGGGGACTTTGTGGAGGAAGCCATAGGTTTTAAGCTTTCTAACTGCCTTGTAGAATGACAAGAGCCAGTGAAGTGCCACCTTTAGGAGAACCATAAGGACTACCATCTTTTTTGAACTTTGTTGAATGTTTCTCTTTTTGCTTGATATGAAAATATTGAGAGTAGGAGGCGTGTGTATATATAGGGATTAAAGAGTGGGGAAGTCGGTAGGTGGGTGAAATAATTAGCGAACTTAAGAGGGTAGATACCCGCTTATGTCTGTGATTGACGTGGCGCTTGCTTCTTGGTCCACGTCAGCAATGGAGCGTGGGACCACATAGAGGGAAGTGTGCATGCATAGGAATTTGGTTATGTGGTTGTGTGAACCGATTGCATTCAAGAGGAGCAATGAACCGTAAAAAATGCACACTGTTTTCTGCAAGATCTATTTTTAAATAAATTTGTTTTACATGAAAAAGGTGGGTCAAATCCCCAACACAAATCTCTTGCTTGCTTGATTCTACGTACAGTATTTCGTTTACGTTTATTCTACTTGCATGTTTACTCAAGAGACGAGATTACATACACATTATAAACATATGTAAATGTTGGGATCGATGTGTCTTATATCTATTTTAGTATTCAATGAGCTTTAAGCCTAGCAGGACTTTGGGCCAAATTAGTGCTAGGATTTAGCACTATATAAGTATCTCTTATGTGAGAGAACTTATGAGAGATCGGGGGCCTTGGAGAGAACATGATTGGAGAACTATGTGTGTATGTGAGGTTGAAAAAGGATGAGAGATGAGTGATTCTCTTCTATTGTTCTTCCTCTTACGTAAAAGATTTCTCGTGTTGTTTATCCTGCAGATATAGATCGAACTTGGTCAACCAAACCACGTTAAATCTTAGTATTCTTCTTCTTGCTTGTTGTTTACTATCTTGTGAACTTGTGGTTTGATCTTAGGGCTGCGGAGGTAAGAATTGGGGATCGTTGATTGCCCAACAGTAAAGAGCCCTTGATACTCCTATCAGCTAAAACATATATAAGAAAACAGAATAGAGATGTTATGCATATGACCTAGATTTTACGAATTAAATTTGTCAAATTGCTTACACGATGACCTGTTGACTTAGTCAACTAGTTATGCACTTTAACTCTTTAAAGTGCAGGACATGAACCGTTAGAAAGCATATCGGTCATGACCCATGGACCTGACCCCTAAGCCCAGATATATTAATATGGCTCCATGATAACTAGTCTCTGTAGGTCGATTATTTGCATTGTCTCAATGTTCCCATACACACTCAGTTCCTATGGCGGTCTGCCCTAATTAGAGATAATTGATTCAAATCGTATCTTATCCTCAAAATATATTAGGAGATATTAATCATGTAACCAATCTCCCAAATTGCCAACTTCCATAACTAGTCCATCTACACATCTGTTTGTTGCATCATCCTATGCTAATGAGGTATTGCCACGTGGTAACCCCTACCGCCCAAGTAAATTAACCTTATAGGGCAATTATTTAGCTCAAGGGCTAATTATACACAGCTACAACGTCAGCTATTAGGATAGTGACACTTGTAAAGGCCAATTTGCCCTAGATAATCAATAAAATTACCCACCCCCTCAACCTAAGGTAAAAACAACAAATAATCTTTGATAATACCTAGGCTTGCTTCTGTCGACCTGGGTTAAGGGTCATCTTCCTCTAAAACCTTTGCCTATTGACTTACTATGTGATTTTTTTTATTAAGGATCTGACTTAGGGATAAGTGGGATTTTGGTGGATAGCCCACCATCATCAATTTGATACTATTTTTGTGATTTCAGGGCAAGCCAAACAGACTAAAATACACCTTGAAATGAAAACCTACTTCTACCATCAAAACTAATCGAGCAGCCCTCTATGACAGAGTTCAATCTCACAGATTCTATTTTATAAGTTGATTTTGTGCAACAACAGTTGGAACCTACCGTGAGCCTCAATCAGATCGTATTTTAATGATGGCGGAAGGTAACAAATTGCCAAATCGATCAAGTAGTCCAATTTCCCTTGTGAAAGAGGACTAACAAGAATAAATGAGGGCTATGATCATGGCCATTGTCAAGGAATAAATTAAAAAAGCTTTTCAGGATATAAAGGCAACCTCGACCCCTGAGAAAAGGCTAACAATGCCTCTTTGACAACTACTTGATCATGTCGATGACAAGCACAACTAGATGTCTTAATTCAATCCAATAAATTTCACACTCAGACAACAAATGATATCCTTACTTATCTAGATTCAAACCTTAACTCAGATGGATCCAAACCTTAACGAGGGAAACCAAACAAATGAACAAATAAGCAACATCGTCAAGACAAACCAAGGCCAATCGGTTAGGCAAAGGGCTACCAGCGGGTACTTAGACTAGCCTTTCTACTCAAACAACTAGGGTATGACCTCAAACTATTTGTACAAGCCTGCAGGGAGTACAATTTGATCTATGTTGAGGCCTTTGATGGAAAGCTCACTCCTGACCAATGAAATCATGAATGTGCCTTACTATCAAATCAAATCAAGCTCCCCAGGTTGGAGGTCTACAAAGGAAAAAGGGTGTCCCATCGAGCTCTCAAACAACTATTACAAAGCAATGGAGATAGCCAGGATGAACGATGCCCTGATGTGCTGATAATTTTCAAACACATTTAGTAAGGCCAAGGCCTAATACAATTCCCTCCTCTAGAAGTCCATTCATAAATTTCATCATCTCTCTAACCTCTTTGTCAACCATTTCCTCCCTAAAACCAGGAGGAAGACTTCCCAGGCCATGCTAGTCCAACTGAAGTAAGAGCCAAGAGAGATCTTAAGGGAGTATTTCAAGCGATACAAGGACAAGCGCCTTGATGCTCAAGGTCCATAGGATCATGTCACCATAGTTGGAATGATGTATGGATCAATGCACAAGGACCTTTACGAAGACCTATTTCTCAAGAAATTTTGATGACCTCATCTGTCGGACAAAAGGGCTACATAAACGCAGAGCAATGCCTGACAAATATGGAGCCTGACAAAGAAACTAAGAGAGATAAGAGTCTGACCACACAAGCTGGCAAGTAAGAGGACAAAAGGAAGCGAGAAGGGGGTTACCCTAGAAGGTTCATGACCTTCACCCTCTGAATGAGCTACTGTCGCAAGTATATGCACTAGCCAGATATGAAGGGCACCTAAGCAAAGCACCTCCAAAATTAGTAGGAGATTACAACCAGTGAGATAAAAATAAATATTGCCATTATTATAAAGATACTGGACACATAACTGACAACTACAGAGCTCTACAAGAAGACGTTGAGAAGCTAATATCATAAGGGCACCTACCTCAATGAATGGAACCTAGCCATGGATAACAACCAAGTTGAGATTTTATCTCTACAAGAGAACATCAAGTGAGTACCATCAACTAGGTTTGAACAAAAGAAGCATCCAATAAGAGAGTAAACACTGAGACAACTCTATAATGGCCCCAATCCAATGGGCGCTATAACTTTATGAGTGATGATAGAAAGTATGTACAATTAAGCAATAGCGCTATCACGGTCTCAGCCAGAATATATGACCAAGAAGTTGGTAAATTTTGATCTACACAAGAAGCTCGGTCAATGTCCTATATGATAACGGGTTTATACGAAGAGAAGACTATCACCTTAGACCTTGCTCGGGTTCCTTAATAAGCTTTACCAGACATATTATGAGGTAGCATGGGATAGTAACTCTTCCAATGTTCATAGGGAGCCCTCCGTGTCCATCGATGATACTGGTGTAATTCTTCATAACCTAGATGGTGTTCCCCCTACAACATGATATTAGGAAGACCCTCTTTAAACCTCATCTAGACAATAATATTTGTATCTTAATGGATAATAATATTCTAAAAAAAGGATGATGAAAGTTAGACACGACCCTAAAGATTGCAATAATCAACCTTGGCGATTCAAGTGATCACACCACTTCAACTTGGGAACCATTGTAGAAACAATTATGGCCAGTATGAGGCTCAACCAAGTAACAATTGACTATAAATGAGGAAGATAATCAATCAATATGGACTAGCTTCTTGGAGAGCCCTATATTGTGGAAAAGCTTGACTTATCCAAACAAATTCCTATTAAAAAGTGAGTTACAAAAGGGCCACCATTGAGGGAACACGGTGAGGTCACCCTAAATATCCGATCTATGACATCCATTGTACCTGACAACCTTAGCAAATCTTGTGGAGTGGGAGTTTTGTAGACTAACTTCTTGAATGTAGAAGGTAAAACTTTGATGAACTATAATTAATAAAGGTCAAAACACCTATTTTAGATCATCCATGACTAGTCATCTCATACTCTTAAAAATTAGGTGCTAAGTCGTAGGTGAAATAAGAGTTTAAAAACACCAAATATCAATTTAAGCTACATGCATGGCTTAGACTTAAGCTATTCATTCCAACTCATATAGACTTTTAATGGGATCAGAAGAAAATTACACGAGCCACCAGCCTCAACTAGTTCGATGATGTGAGACTCGACTTAAATCCATCCCCTCTAAACTAAAGAGATAGTTAAACAAACTAGGCTTGAAATCTGTGAACTTGATGCTGGGATATAGACTGTGACCTATTACCTCTAAGTTATGATCCATAAAGGGAAAACTAGAACTATCTATCTAAACATGTTAAGTCATAGATAAAAGCTTCTATATTTTCATTTGAAAGAATCAAAAGGAAAAGCCACATATTGAAGTATCCAGTATTATAAGATTCCTTGTAAAAAAATAAAGAGGTAGAGGAAATCCCTAAGGATTGTCTAGAAGAATCCTTAAAGGGCTCCCCTCGAAGAAATTATCAATGTGCTTGAAATGACTCAGAGGAGAATAGAACTGAGATCCAAATGTTCACACTCATAGTACTTTCAACATTGGATAAACGTCACATTCTTAAAAGTTATGACATATTCCAAAAGCCCCTCCTCTGAGCAGCGATATCTGCAGATGATCTCCTCCTCATGCTTAGTAGTTTCTAGCTCGGCTACCCTTCTTTGGGACGCCTCAAACTACACTTACATACATCTCAATTCTTCCTTTGCTTTCAACCTACTAGACCTCTTTGAGTCAAGTTGTGCCT